AATCTTGTGAGTGGTTTACGTATACATAAAATACATACATAAATTATTTCTGCAATTTTTCACAAACAAAAACACATAAATCAATTGAATATGTGATGCTTCCAACGAACTGTAAACACTGTGTGTGATGTAGAGAGGAAGCGCTAAAACGCTATGTAATTTGATTTTTCTTTATGTAAATTTACAATTTACTTATAATATATAGGTATACTGTATACATAAATATTACATACATTATTTCTGCAATTGTTCACAAACAAAACACATAACTCAATTCGAACATGTGATGTCGAACGGAACTGAAGCCACAACAACCGCTCGAAAGTGGGAATCATAGAGTTAGAACGTGAAATTCGCTGCTTTTACAAATATCGCCCTCCTCATTCATAACGCAGCTCGAGCAAATTCGCTGTCAAAACACGCCATATAGCAGAACTCACTGTACTGTAGTTGGAACTTGGATAAAATTAATTGCACTGTAAATTTAATTAAGTTTATGACATTGGATTTTCCATAATAGTGGAGATGTCGCATACAGTGGCTGGCCTGACATGAATGTGGGAGGTTGTTGGGTGTTAATGGGTTAGTACAGTCAACCCTCGCTTTACGCGGTCCCACTTTACGCGTTTCCACGTTTACGCGGTACCCTGCCGAACACGGAATGCTCACTTTCCGCGGTGTGTGTACCCTTTTACGTGGAGAGCGGCGCGAGCAGGGTGCGCACAAGGTCGCCCAGTCATCAAAACATTACCGAGTTCTTCACCCGCCACCCACCACAGCCGGCCCAAGTCAGTGATAGTGATAATGATAGTAAGGATATGGACTTATATGGACTTTGAGGGTTTGACAAAGAGGCCCTGCAAGCCTCTGTGGTGGATAGTGATACAATTGATACAAGTGATACAGGTGAGGGCCAATAATCTGCCCTCTGCCTCGGAACCAACCCCCCATCCCCCTCGTGCTCAGCCATCTTTTCTACTTCAATGTAAGTGTTAAAAAACCTATTATTGATATTTCTCTTAATTATTAATTGTGTGTGCATACCATCATAAAATAAGAAGTTATTTTTTACTACAACGTAGTTTGGGGTCGGCCCGGCCCTACTTCAATTAATCCCATACAGTGAGTTCTGCTATAACGCTGTTTTGATAACGCTTAATTTGCTCTAACGCTTATTTATGAATTAGAACGATATTTTTGTATAACGTAACGCTTGTTTGCTATAACGCGATTTTTGCTTACTCTTTCTCCAATTTTGTGGTAGTGGGGTATGCTATAACGAATCTAATTGGTTCTAGAACCTTGTTCCTTATAGCATTCGTTCGTTATAGGATTAATCCGTTCCAGGCCCCCAAATACAACCACTTAACACTGAAAAATATAATATAAAATTTTAAAAATTGTAAAAAAGTGCATAAACATGCATCTAAACCCCTGAAATAAAGAATATCATTAATATTTGTAATAAAAAACAATAAATTAGAAAAAAAAAAAATTAAATAATGTGAATATAGTAAAGAAGAATATCAACAAGAAGCGTTCTGGTGATAGAATTCCCGGTGATGATCGTAAAAGAAAGGATATAACACTTGAAGAGAAGCTCGATTTTATCAACCTCAAAATCACCCTTCTCCCCCATCAAGTAAAGTGTTACATTTACTGTATGATTTCATTATTAGATATGAATGTAACATTTATTTAGACTGTGCTATCCTTTGTGTTAGGCTAACTACTAAATTTTTTAGATTTCGAGTAATCTGCACCTAACCCTATTTTCTCCATAAGCCCTGTTATTTCTATTACGCGATTTCCTATAACACGATATTTTACAAGAACACAATTATTGCGTTATAGCAGAACTACCTGTATGTATGTTGTTCACTTTACGCGGGCCGCCGTGGGTTCAATTGACCGCGTAAAGTGAGGGTTCACTGTACTGTAGGAACCAAATTTTACCAGGGAGTGCTGAATATTAATTCTGGTGCCCTAGATACTCTGTGGTGCAATGTACTGTTTAGTATTTTATACCTAAAATATTGGGGTGCTACAGCAACCTCCCTTCCCACGTACATGTATTGGGTGGAGTGAGCCAGCACACACCCGACCACAACAACAACAATCAGACTGACCAAGCGTGGAGCACAGTGCGGTGAGCGTTACCCATGCGCAGAAATATGCCGAGATTTTCCCACATAATTTTATGTAACGTGGCATTTCCGGAGTTATTTTATAATAAATCCCGAGACGAACGTGTGTGCCGAATTATATGAGATTCCGAGATTTCGTATGCCGAGTTATCGAGGGTTTTCTTACAAACACCACGATAATTATCCTCACATTGCCTTTACACCACTGTAATACTCTTCACATCCATGGAATGTTTCTGGATGCTGAGGAAAGTTTTCACTTCAATACTCTTCACATCCATGGAATGTTTCTGGATGCTGAGGAAAGTTTTTTGAGTGTTAGAAAGTCTAAACTTAGCATTACATATAGAGTAAAATATGTATCTCATCTTGCATGAACAAACACCTTTCCATTACATTTGGACTGTGGGCATGAACAAATATATTTATGGCAAACAAAAAAGTGTATAAGTGATATCTCCATAAGCCAGAACAGTCGGTGCAGAGCACTTCGGGGAATGAGAGATTTCCGGGTAATGAGACAACTCTCGAAAGCTGAAAAAAAATCACTAGTCCCCGGAATTTTTCTGGTAGTGAAAAAATTTTCTCAGAAGTTCCAGAAATGAATTTGATATCCATAATGATTCTGAATAAATTCACTACAATAAGTTTCCAATAAAAGATCCTTAAACAGGATATAATATTGATACCGGAGTCAATAAAATCAGTTCTAATTAAGTTAGTAAAACCATTTGTTTACCAAAATAATCCTGAGTAGTTTATCTAAAAGTCTGGTTAAATAAATACGTATGTAAAAAATAAAAAATCTATATGATACTGGCACGTGAGGCAATGTGTGTCACAGCCAAGACAGTGGAATTTTCACTCTTCACTGGGGAAAAATTTCCCAAGACCTAACAATGCATCTCACATGAAACTGTACTTAAAATATATTGTTAATACTGTAAATAAAATAATGAATACTACAGTACTACAAGGTAGTAGGTAGTAGGCAGCTACCAAACAGGGAGGTACTACCGCCTGGGAAGATATTGGAAGCATAATGTGTTGTAGACCTTGCTGCCATATGTGACCAAGTCCCAGGTTGATGATCTGACTCTCTGCCTCATTTACACGCAATTGTAGGGTCTCAATTGTTTCCCTGACAACACAACACAACACAACACAACACAACACAACACAGTACAGCACAACACAATTGTTTCTCTTTTACTCTGACAACAATAAATACTAAACACAATTGTTTCTCTCGCCTGACAACACAACACAACACAACACAACACAACACAACATACTGTACATACTGTATATTGTTTCTCACTTTTGAATTTTTTTTCATTTTTGCATTTCTTTATGGTTCTTTATTATTATTATTATTATTATTATTATTATTATTATTATTATTATTATTATTATTATTATTATTATTATTATTATTATTATTATTATTATTATTATTATAATATTTTTGCCCCCCAGGCCCCGATGTGGGTTAGTGACCTGTGCCCGGGTGGGCTAATCCCCGTAAAAAAAAACAAAAAAAAAACACTTGTTATGGAGGTGAGATGGGGGATTAATAGTCTCATGTTACTGAAGATGTCTTGAATAATGACAGTGTTTTCCACTTACTTAATGTACAGTACATAACTGTAATCACTTTTTACGTCCTTAACACTGTATTTTGGGCTGATTCTGTCCTGGTACAGTAATGTGCACAACAGAAATTATGCAAAAACAGTAAAGCAGCTAGGGAGGGAACAACCTACATTGGCAGCAGAATATAACGAACCAGCTAGGCCATCCATGCACCCAGCATGGCGCAATTTCTTGGAAAATTTATTCCCAGGCTCAGAACAGAGAGGTTTTGGGAGATTTCCTCTGAATTTTTTCTGGAAAATGTGTCTGATTTTCATCCTTGGAAACTCATTTGCATTCCCGGGATGAAGACAGTTTTCCTGGAATTTTTCCAGCCCGATTTCAATTCCGGCTATTGGAGAGTTGCAGGGATTGGGGATTCTGGCTAACGGAGATTGCTTATACGGTATATAATATATCAGTGGCAATAGAACTAGTGGGATATCAGAGTGTTCCACCAATGACACAGAGCAGTCCTCTGGTGTACTGCTTGGTGCTTGAGGACATACAAAGTACGTCCTCAGACTGTAGGGTTTAAACATTTGAAGGCACCCCAGTAAGATTTTATTTTATTTTTTATTTGTACAGTTGCAAAAATGTGTTCCTACCCCCCCCCCCTGTGGTAATCCATGTCTCCAAATGGCCAACCTATATACCTATAGCAAACTTATCCACCAAATCACGTCCGTCATTACACGACCAGTACCCATTAATAGTGATACTATTACTGCAACGTTGCCTTTGGAGACACGGGTTACCACAGGGGGTGTAGGAACACATTTCCCCAACTGTACCTAAGAACATTCATATGAATTTTATCTTGTTTTGCTATGCATTTCACAATCTAACCAAAAAAATTATTTGGCTATTCTCTACACTATCACATTCCTGTATAGTTTCATACTCATTGTTATCTTTCTTTTGAGTAAAGACTTGTAGGTTTCACATACAAAAATCAAGAAAGTTAACATGCATAGTTACATATCAAAAGGTAGTAGCCCAAAATATGTCAGTTCATATAATAAGTAGAATCCTGTCATAAAGTTTCAGTACAGTTTTATGAAATGCTTATATAATTTTTTAATTTTTTTTTTAACCCTTTAAGGAGATTTAAGAAAAGTGTCAGAGAATGCTCATACAATTTCTCAGTGTAAGTTAGTGTTTGTCATTCCATAATTTTTATTAATTATACCTTTTTTTTTTTTTTTACTTTTGCAGGATAAAGAAAATCAACATGCTCATCTAGCTGATCAGTTGTTGGCTCACCTGGAGTGTTCCTTCTCAGATGGTGTGGTGATTCCTACCCACCAAGAAGCTGAGGACTATTTTAGTATGGCCCACCCTGAGGTTTGGGGAGGAATTCCTTCAAGCACAGGGCCACATTCTGCTAATGCCACTCTCTTGGCACCTGATTTAGATCTGGATGATTTTGATGACACTCTCCGAGGGGAGGAATCTCTCTGTCAGGTTCCTTTGCCCGACACATCTTCTACTTCCTTACATGTAGACCCTCCAGACTTTTCTCCTCCACCCCCAATACCTATGGAAAACTCTGCAGTACCAGCTGTGTCAAGAATGGCCCTAACATCACTCCCATTATCCCCACCTCCTCTACCTCCCAAACCTAAGCTTGGGGGCATTAGAGGTCCCCCTCCACGCCCCCCATCACGCCAATTGCACCTCTTAAACCCACCTACATTTACCTCCACCAGTGATGATGATGCCTTGCACTCATCTGACCCACCTATTCACATCACCAGACAAAGTCATGACAAATTCAATATCAGTTTTGTTTAGTGAAGAGATTGGTGGTTAATGTTTCATTTGTACATTAGTCTTTCTCAGACACTTCCACACACACTCATACACACAAACACATACAGGCACATGTGCACATAAACATTTGTTTATCCAAGTGTTCAAAAGCTTTAGGAGTATCAGTGAAAATGTAAGTAAATACTTTTTGATTTGGAACTTAAATTTATAATATTTCCATAATACTATAATGTGTATGGCGTGTTTGTACATTTTTACTGAAAGATATATTAAATCAAATGACTTGGCATGGCATGACTGTAAGGTTTACCATGTCACTATAATTATGTCTGATTTAGATAGTTAACAAGCTACAATGATCAGTTGAAGAAAAAAGGGGTTAGCTCTTCCTTTGAGGGAAGTCTTGCAGACCTTGGAATTGCTTTAATACAGTACAAAAAAATAATAAAAATATTGCTGAAAAGAAGTGTGCCATTCCAGGTAGTTCTTATATACATATACATATTTATATATATATGCTGTAATATGTATGTAGTAAATATCTTTTACGTAGAAACTGACGCCCTAGCTAACTCGCTAGATGCGTTGTGATACCAGCAGTATTTCTATGTGTATAAAGTTACACGAGTTGTAGATAATTTATGTATTATGCATTCTTGTATATATTGGCAATAATGAGCATGTTTTTGCTATCAACTTCTAAAAGCTGTATCTTATATGTACATAATTCCATGTTCCTATGACTGTGAATTTATATACTAGACAATCTGATTAATTTTTTTTTACAATATCTATGCACAACAGTGGCAATAATATGAAAAACAATAAATAAGTTTTGATTTATAAATTTATGTCCTTTCATTGAATTTTCTAAAAATTATTTTATTTATAACCTCGGTCTTTCAGAGAGCTCCTGCCTAAAGGGAATGATCACAACAGAAGATTTTCCAGGTGATGTTGTCACTACATACTGTACAGTGAGTTCTGCTATAACGCGTGTTTTGATAACGCGAATTTGCTCTAACGCGATTTATGAATTAGGAACGATATTTGTATAACGCGAACGCTTGTTTGCTATAACGCGATTTTTGCTTACTATTTCTCCAATTTTGTGGTATTAACTGTGAATATGGTAAAGAAGAATATCTCCAAGAAGCGTTCTGGTGATAGAATTCCCGGTGATGATCATAAAAGAAAGGATATAACACTTGAAGAGAAGCTCGATGTTATCAACCTCAAAATCACCCTTCTCCCCCATCAAGTTACATTCATATTTTTTCAAGGTAAAGTGTTACATTTACTGTATGATTTCATTATTAGATATGAATGTAACATTTATTTAGACTGTGCTATCCTTTGTGTTAGACTAACTACTAAATTTTTTCGATTTCGAGTAATCTGCACCTAACCCTATTTTCTCCATAAGCCCTGTTATTTCTGTTACGCGATTTTCTATAACACGATATTTTACAAGAACACAATTATCGCGTTATAGCAGAACTACCTGTACCTCCTTTGACCCCTCTAGTTCCTTTATCCCCTTCCCTATTCTCTACTTAAATGTCTTGTTCCACTTTTTCCCTCCCACAATGTGAGTGGTCTAACAATATGCTTGCTGCAATTTATGAACACTCAACTCCTTTGCTCAGAAAGGCTGAAAAGGTCACCAAACATGCTACCAGAGAGGGTGTGTGGAGGTGTGTGTTTGTGTGAAGGAGAGGGTGTGGTAGTCAGTCTCTTATCAAACAAGGAGCTAAACAGACCAGGCTGGCCACTCAGAGAAAGAGGAAATAGAACCAATAAATACAGTAAGCTCAATACTCACCCCAACACAAGAGATAGAGAAATAAAAAAAAACTGACTAGGCTTAGTGGGATATCTGAGTGCACAGTATAGTACACTACAGTATTCGCACAGACACACGCACACTCAAGAAACACAACACTGGTGTGCCATATCAGACCAATTTCACCCTCCCAGCTTTACCTACTGTTGTGGAGATTAAAGGATGTATCAGGTATGCCTTTCTGATAAGATGCTTAGTGTAAGAGGATGTACGAGGTAAGTCCATCTGACTGAAGGGGATAAACTTGCTGAGAAGACTGGAAACATCCAATGAGAATGAGAGAGGCAATAGGATATTGAGCCAAAATAAAGGATGTTCTGCTGGACACGTGTAGCTGGATGAAGAGCCACTAGCGTAGCTAGGGGGCGGCGGGGGGGGCGGTCTGCCCCGGGCGGCACTTTTGGGGGGGCGGCACTTTTGGGTCTGCTCATCACCCATATCTGCAGCTACTGGAGACGTTAATCCATTCCTTTGTATCGGCGGCAAGTTAATCCTTGTCGTGTCTGACCTAACACCTGACCCACATCATCACGGCCACGTCATGAGCTACACCCTTGCTATGAGGCCCCCCGCCACACACACAACCTGTAACCTGTTGAGGATTAAGGAAACAACTTCAAACAAGTACGCCAGTGAGCTCATGTGGTGTGGGTCAGGTGTTAGGTCAGATACGACGAGGATTAACTTGCCGCCGATACAAAGGGAAGGATTAACGTCTCCAGTAGCTGCAAAACCATGCAGTCTCGGGTCATATCAGTTCATGTACAGCCGACCAATCCACCAGTTACAAGCAATTCACTTCAGTTCTGCACAAGTCTCCATCGTGACAAGACGAGGGGAGGCTAGACGACTTTTAAGTTCTCTTGTGTTTTCGATCCAGTTATTTACTTCGTTGGAAGACATAATACTATAAGGTAAGAAATATTAAAGTATTGGTTAAAAAATATTGATGTGACTTTTGCTGCGGTACTGAGATTAAATATTAAGATTTTGTTTCACAGCATTGCGATTTTATACTAAGACACTATCCTCACTGGGGTACAGACAAAAGCCCCCCCGACAAAAGCCATCCAGACAAAAGCCCCCCCAGACGAAAGCCACCCAGACAAAAGCCCCCTACTTTGATCGGGGTGGCTTTTGTCTGACAACAGTAAGGGCTTTCAAAAGTTACGGACATAATTAAATAGTTGAGGGTAAAATATACTGTTCTTCTCTGTGGTTAATTATTGGTTAGGTTAGGGTTAGGTTAAGTTAGGTTAGGTTAGGTTAGGTTAGGTTAGGTTAGGTTAGGGTTAGGGTTGTCAGACAAAAGCCACCCCGATCAAAGTAGGGGGCTTTTGTCGGGGGGGCTTATGTCAGACATCCATTTTCACTGTACTCTGAGTCTGTAATTTTAGATTGAGTTGCTACTTTTTACATTTCCATTGTATTACATTGATACTAGTGTCATTATACCGTTTTTGCTTTTTGTTTAACTGTTACTTATAAAGTTTAAGTATGTTTGGTGTGTATTTAAAGCATACTATATTTGAGTATGTGAAAGTACAGTAATATTATAATGGTACACAAACTATTTAATATATATATATATATATATATATATATATATATATATATATATATATATATATATATATATATATATATATATATATATATATATATATATATATATATATAAGAGTGAGTCACTGTGCAATATGTATTTTTGTGGGGGCACGGGCAAACTCAAGGGCCGCCCAGGTGGCACACACTCTAGCACGCCACTGTGAAGAGCCCAGCCAGACATGCAGTAACATGGTGGAATGATGAAGCAGACTGTAATAAAGGACAAGAAAAGCTTGCATAACACCTGGATGATGGAGTACCTGGAGGCCAAGTGTAGGGTCAGAAGAGAGGTTTACAAGGCTAAGAAGCTTGAACAGGACACATTTGTGGATACACTGCCCCCTTTCTTAACCCGAGTTTGTTCAACGCGGATTCACTCGAAAGCTTAACACGGGGCTAAGGTTTGCTTTAATGTGGGTTGAGCCGGGCTAACGAGAAAATTCGTTCGAACATGGTCGGGTAGAAACGTTTAGCGCGGGCCAGTGGTCGAGTATATTACAGTCCATGGGTAGCATTCCCCAGCCCTGTAGGTCAGAGTTTTTTGCTTGGTGCTTGGTCCGGCAACAACCAAAACTTTGTTTGGATTGTCTTCAGTTTTTTTGCTTGCTTTTGTCACCATGACTTCCCCTAAACATTCTCTCTAAGTGTCCCTCTGCCTCGGGACACTCCAGTAAAGAAGAGTAGGACCATGTTTACTCTAGAAAGTAAGTTAGACATTCTTCAACGACTTAAGAGTGAAGATGAGCCACCTAGAATGTCTCCACAGTTATTAACGTCCAACCAACATCTTACACCACCATCTTTCTAACTACCCTTCATATGTGAGTACAGTACAGTTCTGTATATTTATTCTGATTTAAATACTAATTCATCATGTTTAAGTTGCTGGGCCGGGTTGTTACAGCAAAGCTTGAGGGAGGCCACGTGTAACTCAGCCAGCATCTGCAAATGGCCGCTGTGTTAAGCTTTCAGGAACTGATTTCATGGACATGCCAGTGCCTCCACAACATCATGTGAAAGTGAATTTGGTAGATGATTGTGTACGAGTGAGCTACTTTTGAGCATTTTTGGGGAATGCAATCCTGTGTTAAGCGAGAGGGCAGTGTACTGTATGTTGAATAATACAGATGCAAGAGGAGAGGTTCTCAGAATAACCAGACAAATAGCTGGTTAGAAACAAGGATGTTGTTGGTAAACAGTGTGTGAGAAGTGATGATGGTAATACTGTTGTTGATAACGAGGGAGTCACGGATGACTCGAGATAATAATACGATTGATTACTGAATGAGGATTATGAATGGGACGGCTGCCTAGTGGGAGTAGAACCAGTACAGGGACCATTCCCAAGGACTGAAGGAGATCGGGTGGAGAAAACAATTGACAAAATGAGAATGGAAAAGCAGTTGGAAGCTCTGGGTTAGTTCAGATGAAGGCGTGTCAATGGTGACCATATTGTCAAATATAATCATGATGGATGGATGGACTGTTCCAGACAAGTGTTGGAAGAATGTGATCATCAGTACATACAAGGGTAAGGTGATTCCCTGAGTGTAGCAGCTACTGTACAGGGACCTGAAGCTGTTAGACCAGGCTATAAAAATCGTGGAATGAGTGATTGAGAAATTGATAAGAGAGAGTAGATGGCCAGACACCTGCAAGAGAAATATTAAGGAAGAGAAAATTGTACTTCATATTTGTAGACTTAGAGAAGGCATTTGACAGTATTATGTGAAGTAGTAAAGTGAGCAATGAGAAAGTTAGCAGTCAAGGAGTACAGTACCTTGTTTGAGTGGTTATGGCATTACATGAGGGCTCAAAAACTTCTGTGCGAGGATATGGTGTGGAAAGTGAGGAATCTGAGGTAAAAGAAGTACATCAGAAGTCTGTCTCCTATTTATCATTGTACTAGAGGCAGTATCACAGAACATTATGACTGGCCTGCCTTGGGAGTTATAGTATAGGCAGACAAATATTCTCATTACTCTTAATTGATAGTTCAAAAAACTTTGCAAATACCTGCCAAGTAATAATAGATGAATGATGCAAAGGAGTATTTAAGAGTGGTAAAGAAGGAAGCACTAAAGTATTTGATAGGCAGGTGTATGCGCCTACTGCAACACACGTACACCTATAGCTCAACTCACGGATCTTGAATATTCCCTTTATGGTGTCGTCTGGCTCAAAATATCTCTACCAACTATGACTATTTTTCTTTGTTTCCTGTACTGTTCTCCCAACTCTACCAACTATTTGGAACTCTTTGACTATCTCACTTCTTGCCATGAGTCGTTGCTATCCACACACCCCAACACCGAGATCCTCTACCTAGGGGATATCAATGTACATCACAGAGAGTGGCTTGGCTCTGCAAGGGATGACCCAGGTGGAGCTGA